AGGAGAGAGGGGAAGGGACGCGCATGCGCAATAGAGAAGCGAGCACACGCAGGTGGTAGGAGAGAAGTGGAGAGAGTAACGTTCAGCTGTTGGAGAGAGAGAGAGTAGGGGGAGAGTCACGCACGCGTAGTATGAGTGCGGACGCCGGACGCGTAACCTGAAAAGAAGACGTAGACGGTAGACGTAGACGAAAGAAGACGTTTCCGCATCTGAAAAGAAGACGTAGACGGTGCTTGCTTCGAGATTCACCGATTCACTGCCAATAGCTAATGGGCACATACAAAAGAACGTGTTGAGGTCCCTTCTCTAGGAACCATAGGTCACGCCTTAGAAGCTGCACGCTTTACTCGGGGATGATAGCACTGTTCTCTTTTCGCCCCGGGAGCCTCATTAAGGACAAATAACTGCATTACACTTCGGTCAGGAAAACCGCGCCACGCTTGCAAGGTCTCAACTTCAAATTAGTGACATGAGCGGGTGCCTGGGTGAAACAGAGGACACGGCAAAAAAAAAAAGGGCCTGTATCTGCATGTTTTACTGCAAATGTCGAAAGACGAGTCTTGCGTCTGGAAAGAGTGAACAAAACGTTCATTTGATGTTCTGCGCGAAAAACAATTGTGAATTTTATTCTGGACTCCGTCGAAGTACCCCAAGGAAGACTATCGTCCTTAAATTTCTAACACAACATAATCTAGTGCCACAACACCAAGCGAAGAAACGTGCGCACTGGTGTTGGGAAGCATCTCTTGCTTGGGTGTACGTGCCGTGGCGTCGGCGTCGGCGTCCACACACACACTACTCATGCGCAACTGCTTTCTTCTCCTATGCTTGCTCCTCTCGCCTCGCAACGCCCACGCAGGGAGCGTCTGCTAACCTACGCTCGCTCCCCCTTCTTCTCTAGGAATTCCTCCCTTCGGCGTTTACACCTCCGGTGCGCATGCGCGTTCCCGCTATATCTTCTCCTACGCTCTCCTCTCTCGCCTCGCGACGCCAACGCAGGCCGCGTCTGCGAGCGAGTTTCTTGATTAAAAAAATTGACTGTTCACGCTGCACAACCATTCACTGGCCATCTCGTATATATATGCGCTGGATCTTGATCGCCAAGGAAGTGCCATTCGGAGATTTTTTCAATGCGTTGGTGAACAACAAAGATTCGTAGCGTGAGCGTTAACTAAAATCAGGCTGCGGGTCTTTAATTGCATTATCCGGTCTCTCATGGCCCACTAGCAGTGATTGGCGCGTTTCAGTAGGAAACATTGGTCCATCACTGCGTGTTTTGTGCATCCCCAGATTTCTCTCCTGCGTAACGTCACGATTTGTGCGAGCGTCAACGCCACCACCAGAATAACCGTTAGTGCCCGCTACTTCGCATTCGCACATGGTTCCCTTTAAGAGGGAATGGTGCATTTCTCTTCACATTCCTTGAACATATTTTAACACAGAGCATGACTGAACGGACACAAGGGAAGAAGGGACAAACTGCAGCGCTGTCCCTCCTTGGGTCCACGTAGTCGTGCACTGTGCTTAAATATGTGCAAGCACTGTCACCAACTGGCCCAGCTTTCAGTACTTCTACAGTATATATCTTTACATTCATCGGGTCTACACTTCCGATGACACTTTCTCATGACGCTCTTACATTTATTGTACTAATGTCGGTTCTCGCCATTTGGTGTTGGATATAAAAAGTCAATAACATGAGGCGCATGCCTGTGTACCGTAGCCCGTGCTACAGGGGTGCAGGTGAAATAAATTTTATTTGGTGCTGGAGAACCTTGATCAGACACTCCTCGAACAGGGGTCTACCGCAGTTGCAGGCCACGCCCACGCCAGTAGACCGTAAAGCAGTTTGCGCCCTCAGTAAGGGTGTTTACCGTGTTTATAACTAACATCTTACAATAAAGGTGTCAGTTATAGATGACAAAGCACTCTTAAAGGTGCAAACTAGTTTACTCTGTGTTAGGTATGTGGCAGATGTGTTCTGAGGACAGAGATTGACTAATTACGCAACAGGACCTTCACGTTATTAATGTAGTGATCAAACAGTCATATTTCTGAAACTGTTTTACACGCCCATATTAATTTTAGTCCAACCTTGTTAAAGTTAAAGAGGCGTTCGCGACAGCACCAACACATAGGTGTATATATATATATATATATATATATGGATGAATAGATAGATAGATAGATAGATAGATAGATAGATAGATAGATAGATAGATAGATAGATAGATAGATAGATAGATAGATACGACCGAAGCCCCTGCAGTGTTCGCTCAGAAATGCTTCGCAAATAAAACAAACATAGCTTGAGAGTGCCTGAGAGGCAAAACATGATCAAGCGTAGAAACAAAAAGTAAGTAAAAGAAGATGCACAGATGAGATAAGTGAAATAGGACAGGTTAAATAGCACGCTGGGCGAAAAATAATTTATTGTCCTGATTCTATATGTGTGTAATTACAGCTCTGTGTCAATTTTTTTTCTACACATTGCAAACCTCTTTACCACACCGTATAGCTAGCTCTCTGCACTGCCTTATATATACCGTGACTGAAGGTACTCTTGCCCATTTTATCGTCACAGTTTGCATTTCCGATATAGTTCACGCCGTTTTCTTGAGTGTCATAATCTGTCACCAACCACACTGTCCTTTGATTTCATCTTTCAAACCTCCATGCGTATTTTACATGGTAGATGGAGAATTTTTTCACTTGTTTTAATTAAGTAAAGTTTTCCAGAACACCTTTTTTTTTCGTTTTCCTGTTATGCTCGAAAAACCATGGCGTCAGTACACTCTTAACCTGGTTCCACATAGGTTCCAGCTAGTAAGCGGAATATTTTTGCAAAAAAGTTCCATTTAGGTGAGTGGAGATGCGTTCTAGATAACGCTTTGATTATGAGGAACAGTGTTCCACTCATTGGTCACTGGGTTGTGTATTGTGTACGTTCCGTGTACTCAGATTTGGGTGCACGTTAAGGAACCCCAGGTGGTCGAAATTTCCGGAGCCCTCCACTACGGCGTCTCTCATAATCATATGGTGGTTTTGGGACGTTAAACCCCACATATCAATCAAATCAATGTATTGTGTACGTTGCAGCGTCCCACTTATTCGTACCTAGAGAATTCATGCATTCTACACTCTAAAAAAGGAGCGAGTAAAAAGGGTGTCTTTTTGTCCCACAACAATAATCGTCATCTATATTGCGTTCCATCCTTGCACTATCGCCCCGCGCCCGGTACATTCCGGTCACGATCCACATGCCCATTATCAGGGTTACGTTGCATTCTCGATAGGAAAGTGGCCAGCGCCGTGTTTTCAAGAAAGGAAGCACACGCAAGCCTGATGACGATTATTGTTGTGGGACAAAAAGACACCCTTTTTACTCGATATTTTTTTAAAGTGTAGGAACTTTATGCACACCATGATTAGCGTCACCAGTATTTCTGGCATAAGTAAAGAGGTATGATACCTAAATGTGGCAAGTAAGCATTCAGTTTTCTCATATACTTGCTGCATACATGAACGAACGAATTGGGGGTCATTCCTCAGCATAATATGATAACATTGATAGAAATTGTTTTACTGGATTTCTGCGCAAGTATGTCATCGTGGAACACGTCGGTACTTACGCTCCATCAAAACATGCATGCTCATGCTTTTAACATATTGTACTGAATAATAACAACTCATATGTAAGTTTTGGTATACGACAAAATATATAATAAATTTAATGCTGAGTGATCCCACTTAAGTCTCAAATAGGCTTAAGTGCCATATATGCCGGATATCGGTTACGGTAAACATAGTAGGTATACAAGCATGCGTCGAGATAACCAAAAAGAAATCCATTCATATATTAATTGATGAATTAATGGTAATTTAGATTATTTAGGTGAACCTGGAAACAGCCGCGCTGTCGGACAGGGCCAAATAACACCAATCAATAACCTGCAAAATTGTGAAAATGACCGTAGTAACGCTACAGCATTTGAATTTGCCTGTTCGTGCTTATAATTTGATTTAGATGCATACCCACTCTATTCTACATCATACAAATCCTCAACCATATAATGAAAGTCTTAAGACACAACTGCTACAGCTGTTGCTATTGCTTTGAGTGTGCATGATCTGAAGACAAAATCCTACTCACATAAAAACAATAATGCTTGGAAAGCCACCTGTCATTTCGGCTGGCAGTACAACAAAAAAATATTTCCAACAATTTATTTCACAGAACACTTTCTCGCACATGGTTACGTGAAAAGAAGCACAGTGTATAAGATAATACAAGGCCACCTCAAACAACACACAAGGAATAAGCCATTGTGCGTAGCAATACGGAATGAAATTTGTGTACCAACAACATCAATACTCTAAGAATAAACTGAAGGTCAAGCACAAGTAACAAGTGAAACAGGTACTCACACGGAGCCTTAGGTATGATCAATTATTAATCTCACACACGTGCAATGTGTCAATTGTAGCTCAGAAAAACATGTGCAAGAAAGAAAAAAATGTCGCTGGGCGTAAGCTATTCGTCAAGATGATACTGATATGGTACTAGTTGTACAATTAGTGATGCCACCTGGATGCTATCGTTTGACATACTTAGCAAAACTACGGAAGTAGTATCGCGAAACGTCAGTGCTTACGTAGCTACCTGACCTGTGTAACTCATTGTAGTAGTAGTTGGTTCTGTTGCCAGAGCTTAGCTCGAGTGTGTTCCTATGGGGTTCACTTGGCCGTTTAAGGAGCCTTCGCCACAGTCTTTTCACAGAAGACTTGTTTGCCGGAATACTTGATTGCATGGGTGACATCAAGATCTGGCGATTCTGGACAGCATTCTATATCTTCAAAACTGGAAAAAAAAACGTTTCAACAATTAGGTGTTAAAACAGCAAAGTGAGAGTGACCTCATCTTCATATAATGTAATTTCAGTCTAAATTGCGCTTACTCATGCAAGCTTGTAAGGGAGTGTTGAAAACATTTGAATTACCTTTCTGACAGTTTTGGTGCCTTTGCACCTCCAATTAGCTGGAACGTAATAGAACTAATATTATATGTTTAAATACACATGCAGATTAAAACATTCCGTACTCCCCTACACACACGTGCACACCCACAAACGCACACACACGCACCACCCACACTCCCCCCTCCCACACATACACACAAGCACACACACACACACACGCACACACATGCATGCACATGCAAACACACGCACTCAAATTGATGTAAAGCTATACAATATTTTGAAGTAAAAAATTAAATAGAAACCACGCCGTTCCCCTTACCTTCGAAAAGTCAACGTGGGACTTTTTCGACGTGCGTGGAGAAACGAATGGTAAAGAGCCCTTTTTCTAGGGTAAAATCACGCTGCGGGCCGTTATTGTGTCCAATAACAAGTGGGTCGTCAATCTCGAAGCCAGTCACTGGAAAAAAGTTTTAGAACTCTAGTCGGCACCAACACTGCTTTTTCATAATTGCGCTAACAGTACAGAAGCAGCACATATTCGCATAAGAATGCTCAGTACCTGACAAATAAAATCTAATGGTGTCGAAAGCAGTGGAATATAAAAGTGATTTATAAGATAATATAGTGCGAGTGTTTTTGGAAGAATTTATATTACACGATACGGTACTGCGCACAACGAAAATACCCCACATCGCACCAAACACCACTTTGAACACCACCCTATTGTCACAGACGTTAAGATACGGAAACATAAAGTGACTTTGCGTGGTGCACACTGCAAACTTGTTCGTCGTAAACTGGAAAGGCTCGCGAAGCGAGCCAGTCGTGCAAACACGCTTTTTTAAGGTCATCATGAATTGTCCTAACACACTCACGCGGGTCATGCGAGCAAGCGAGCAGTAATATACCCACAAAAGTCAGTGTTTTGCACAACAAACCTCAGTGAACCAAGCCTATACTTAAACACATCAAACTGGTACAGTGCAAGTTTCGTTGAGAGCATTATATCACGTCTTAGATTTCTTGGCAAAATTTACATAACAGCTCTAGCAGGCACACTAACTATGCTGCTGACAGACGCTTACGTATTCATCTTGCTAGTTCATGCACGCCCAAACTTTCACTCTCCTTTTTTATGCGACCGCAACCAAACTATCGTTTGGTTGCGGTCGCATAAACATTCAAGCTACACAACAAAGACAGAACTCAAAGCAAGCGATAAAAATGGCGCAAGGACAGCCTCCGCCATACCGCTAATGCATAGGCAGTATAAATGCTCGTCACGCACCCCTGAGAAGTGACCACAAGATCAACAGTCCGAGAACTTGTTAGCGATGGTCCCAGAGCCTCCAGAATTATCGAGACACACGAACAAAGCTTCGGAAAAGCACGCACGTCCACGAGCGAAGAAAATGGCGCACGCTGCCTGTAAGCCTACACAGCACTTGTCAACTCTGTAACCGCCGCAACGCTCGCCAGTGAAGGGAGGTTTGGTGCGAGTGCACGGACGTGCTTTCTTCTGCTTGCTGGAAGATCGACTGCCGAGAGACGTGAAGATTCTTCAGTCGTTATTTCGCGAACGCTAGCCCTGCCTTGAGCATGCTTTCTTCCGTTGCACATTTCGAAATCAAGCAAGAGATTCATGGGAAGGACCTCCTCACCGACGCACCTAAGCTGCATAAACTGGTTCTTTATGCTATCTTGAACATGTGATGCAGATACGGTGTCCCTTTGCTGCCCTAAGTGGAACAACCATCAAAGCACGCCACTTGGTAACCGGAACAAATCGCTGGGCTCGATGACATGTATCTGGTTCCGCTTAAGTGAACAAAAACTAAAGAAAAAACAACTGCTGTTTCAGATAACCTTCGCCAGACTACTCTGATCCACATAACAGCTCCGTATGTTCTAGTTAACGACTGATTTATCTGGAACCTATGTAGAACAATATTAAGAGTGTACTATCAAACAAACCCGGTGCCTTGAATCTACATCGCTGAGATTTTTCAGAATGGAGTTGTTGATAATGATGATGTGTGGGGTTTAACGTCCCAAAACCACTATATGATTATGAGAGACGCCGTAGTGGAGGGCTCCGGAAATTTAGACCACCTGGGGTTCTTTAACGTGCACCCAAATTTAGGCACACGGGCCTACAACATTTCCGCCTTCATCGGAAATGCAGCCGCCGCAGCCGGGATTCGAACCCGCGCCCTGCGGGTCAGCAGCCGAGTGCCTTAGCCACTAGACCACCGCGGCGGGGCATGGAGTTGTTGATAAGAGAGACACCAACAGTGTGGAGAGCGTATTCTTTACACACTACTTGAAATGTACACGAGAGGACTTTAGCTTAGTGTGCACTCAAAGTTCCCAAGTACCACGTAGTTGGATGTTGAAAGGCTAAATTTTGTCGACTGAAAAGTTGCTGTATAGATGCACGCACAAAGAAATAAACATAAGAGTAACTTGGACATCGTCTCATCAACCTGCTCATTATTTCATACTTAGCATGTGCCGAAAATACTCAAGGGTTGACAAAATAGCTGCACCACGCAAACAAAGTATGATTCAGTGGTCCCTGTAATAAACGCCACCATTTGCCGTGTGCATGCTATACAGTACATCCGGAGAGCATGCCTAAACTAGATTATAAAATAATTCACCTAAAAGCTAATCACTAAGCGGACACGTGAACACACGGAATCATTATTTGTGTGTTTTTGTCTGGTTTATGCATAAGATGTTCTATCAAACGTACAGTGAACAACAAGCGAAGGCTCAGTCAAGCCACAGTGGATCGGGTGAACCAGAAGTCAATTGATTCTAACCCATTACAGTGTTGGAGAACGTGGCCGGAATGAGAAGCATCAAATACAAAAAAAAGCGTGGCTAACACCTCTATAAGGGTTATGTCCCAGGTGATGAACCCAAGATTATCTTGCGCAGTCAGGACAGATCCGCGATCAAGCAGGTGAAAAAAATTAAAGTTCTAGGCTTTTACATTGAAGCTGGAGGTAGCAACCTCATTGCCATTCAGCATTTTCCAAAAACAACTGATCAAGTCCTCAGGCTACTAAAGAGAATCACCAACTGACACAGGGGCCTTAGCGAGGACAGTGTTCTAAGGCTACTACACGCCTTCACTCTCTGTGACTTCACCAACGTGGCAGGTCTCTTCCAACGGTCGCAGGGCGAGCTGAACAAGCTCAACACCACTGTAAGAAAGTTAGTCAAAACTGCCCTAGGTATACCGAACAGTAGATCGAACGAGAAAATCAAGAGCTAAGGCGTGCACAATACTATGGCAGAGATGTCGGAAGCGCAACAGACGGCACAGCAGGAAAGACTAACGAGGACACGTGCGGGTAGGCTGATACTCAAAGCGATCGGCTCAGTTCAAACAGATCGAAGAACCCGAAGGATGTCGAGGTAGAACTGAACGCGGAGCTTAGAGATGTAATGAAAACCACAACCTTTCCGAGAAACATGCATCCGGAACACAAAGTCAGTAGGCGAAAACCAAGAAGGAAAGCTCCATTGAAAGAAATCAAACAGGTAGAACAACAGGCGGCCGTCGTGGTCGCAGATTGGGTGAAAGGCAAATAGGCCTGCACGGCTGTGGTGGGCGACCGCCAGGGAGAGGTACATGACGCCCTAACTATAGACTCACTAAGGACTCCTCGGTGGGGGAGCAAGCTGCGATTGCTTTAGCTATCAAGAACAGAAAATGGTCATACAACTATAGTGACTCCAAAGCAGCAATTATGAGCTTCGACAAGGGCTATGTCACTGGGACTGTGGTTAAACTTACGAACAAAGTCAATTCTGTCGATACTGAAATCCGATGGTTTCCTGCGCATAAGGGACACGTGGACGAAACTCAGGTCTACCTCAACGAGATGATGAACGACTTGGCACAAGGACTCGCTTACCGTGCCGGTCAGAACAGATTCGACGCCCACTACCATTCCGGGGACTATAAAGATAATTTAATCACACAAAACGACATTACAAAATATTATTACTTGTGGCTAGGCAATTCCCACTGCCACACGCAAAATTGAACAGGGCTTAGGCAGTCACCCTACGTTTACTGCAAACCTAAACTTACCCCTATCTGTACTTTCCAAATAAAATTCACCCTGACAGTGAAATTCAAGACAAGTGTGACGCGTGCGATGGCATCATTGGGATCAGACACATGCTGGCGGGCTGTTGCAAAGCGCATCTTATCAAGATAAACTATGGGCAGTCCAGAAGGTCCACGATGACGCCACAAGGCTCGGCCGGACGGTACCGACGTGGATGCGGCCCGCCTCGGTCTGAAAAGACCGAGCTTCAGGACACAAATAAAGTTTTCTGCATGAATGAATCCCTCTATAAAGGAATCGGTATAACACGAAAGTGGAGCATGTCCTTAGAGAGGTAGTTCAGCATTTATTGTACCTTGTTTCAGCAACAGCAACAAAGAGCGGGCTAACAGCTATATCTCAGCTGGATACTTAGAACGCACTGTTCAAACAGAAAAAAAGGCGTACGATACGAGCGCACAAGTATACACAAGACAAGCACTAACAACAGTCTCAATTCTTTCTGCGTCTTGTGTCAGCAGCACACTCTTTTCGTAAACGCAACCGTGGCAGCGCGCGAAGTGACCTTCGTCCTCTCGCAGGAGAGACAACGCTCTGTCGGGGCGCCACATCACGGAGGCGACGACGTTTAGAGCGCGTTTATCACGAGCCCGTTGCGCCGTCTCGCCACTGGTGACGAAAATGCGCTAAAGATTCGAAGCTCTCAGGAGTGACAAACAGGGTATGTTTTATAGCTTGCTGTTAGCAGTCCAGACAACGTACCCTTTATGTCGTAGTGATTATTGCCGTGCGCTGAAATCGAAAGGTTGCTAGATCGATTCCGCGCTCTGCATGTTTGCCTTCTGGTTTTTTATTTGCAATCTCCTTGTATATATTTACAACGTCACTTCCCTAAATAAAATGTGGCAGCGGAGCGGTGGTGGACCTCGTAATAAAACACTTTCGTGTTAAAAATGGCAAAACAAAACAAGATAAAGTGAACATGAATATCCACGGCTATCAATATGCAGCATGAAGTCAGCAAATGGTGGATGTTTCACTTGGCCGGCTGACGCGTTCCATAGTTACAAATTGCAGGATTCTTCAGCTTCACCTTTAAGAAATGATTGTGATAGCGCTATCTTGTCTCAAGTGCGTACTTAAAACACTTAGGTCATACTTTTTAAATGCAAATGCACTTTTTAGTCGGGATATGTCAGGCATCTGGCGTTTTCCACGGTGTCTATTGCGGTGTCTGCGCGCCAGGAGGTGTTATCTCTCTGCTCTCACTCCCTCTTCCATAGTAAGAGTTGGAGGCGCACGCGATAATCCTCACCCCTAGCAATCGCAGCATGTGCGGCGAGAGAGTGTAGAAAAAGGTAGATAC